GTCCCAGAAACACACAATGGAAAAAGAAAGCATCTCTGATATGTAGAACTGAATGGTATTGTAAAATAATATATATATATATATATATATATATAAATTAAAAAAAAGAAAGCATCTTTGACAAATGGTGCTGGTCTAACTAGATATCTACATCTAGAAGAATGCAAATAGATCCATATTTATCACCCTGCACAAAAGTCAAGTCCAAGTAGATCAAAGACCCTAAATAAAATCAAATACACTGAACCTAATAGAAGAGAAAGTGGAGAATAGCCTTGAACATGTACAGGAGACAACTTCCTGCACAGAACACTGATAGCACAGGTTCTAAGAACAACAATCAATAAATGGGACCTCATTAAACTGAAAAGTTCTATAAGGCAAAGGACACTGTCAATAGGACAAAACAGCAGCCTACTGAATGTGAAAATATTTTCACCAACCCCACATCTGACAGAGGGCTATTATATAAAATGCATGAAGAACTCAAGAAATTAGACATCAACAAACCAAATAATCCAATTTTTAAAAAAATGAGGTACAGTGCTAAACAGAGAATTCTTTGTTTTTGTTTTTGTTTTTAAATACAGCTTTGGGGAAGCCCTCAGCCCTGCTGGCTGCTGGTCTTCCAATGTAGTTAAACAGAGAATTCTTAACAGAAGAATCTCAAAACACTTAAAGAAATGTTCAACATCCTTAGCCAGCAGGGAAATGCAAACCAAAGCTACTTTGAGATTCCATCTCACACCTGTCAGAATGGCTAAGATCAGTAATACAATTGACAGCTCATGCAGGTGAGGATGGGGACAAGGGGAACACTTTTCCATTTCTGGTGGGAGTGCAAACTCATACAACCACTATGGAAATCATTATGGCAGTTCCTCGGAAAACTGCTAATCTACCTACCTCAAGATCCAGATATACTGCTATTGGGCATATATTTAAAGGATGCTTCCTCTTATCACAAAGATAATTACTCAACTATGATCATAGTAGCTTTATTCATAATAGCCAGAAACTGTAAACAATCTAGATGTCCTTCAACAGAAGAATAAAGAAAGAAAATGTAGTACATTTACACAATGGAGTATTACTCAGCTGTTAAAAGCAATGACATCATGAAATTTTCAGGCAAATAAATGAAACTTGAAAAAAAAATCAAACTGAGTGAGGTAATCCAGACAGATCCAGAAAGACAAACATAGTATGTACTCACTTATAAGTAGATATTAGCTGTTAAGTCAATGATAATCATGCTACAATCCACAGACAGACCCAGGAAGGCTAAGTAACAGGAAGGCTCTAAGGGAGATGCATGGGTCTCCTTGGGAAGGGAAAATAGAATATATTTTTGTGGGTGGACTAGGAGAGCATGTGGGGATGGGAACAAGGAGGGATCAGGCAGGGAGAGGGGGTGAAGGGGGAGCACTAGAAGAGATGACTGGAATTGGAGGACATTTGGGGGGCAGGTGATGTGGAAACCTAGTCCAGCAGAAACTCAGAAGTCTACAAGGGTGACCCTAATGAGGACTTCTAGTAATGGAGGAATCAGAACCTGAACCAGCCATCCTCTATAACCAAGCAAGGCTTCCAGAGGTGGGATGGGGACACTGGCCCAGCCATAAAACCTTCAACCTATACTCTATCTTGCCTGCAAGTTGTACTGGGTCAATGGAGGCAGAGAACTTGTGGGAGTGGCCAACTAATGACTGGTCTAACTTGAGGCCCATGTCACAAGAGGGAGCCTATGCCCGACACTGCCTGGATGACCAGGAATAGAGGCTAGATAGCCCAGGCTAGATAGATAGAAAAAAATCAATAAAATGATTCCCAAACATATTCTTATATGCTCATAAATTGGTGCCTGACCCAATAGTCATCAAAGAGGCTCCTATTGGCAGATGATGGGAGCAGATACAGAGACCTACAGCCAAACATTAGGTAGAGAGCCAAAACTGAAGATCTCCATCAGGTTCCTCCCCTTGTAGCTCCAGGAACCCTATGGAAGAGGAGGAAAAAGAAATGTAGGAGCCAGAGGGGTCAAGGATACCAGGAGAAATGGGCAACTTAGCAAGCCTTATAGGGGCTCACAGAGACTGAAGCAGCAATCATGGAGCCTGCATGGGTCTGCACTAAGAATTCTGCATATATGTTATGGTTGTAGCTTGATATTTTTGTGGGGCTCCTAACAGTGGGAGCAGGGGTGTCTCTGTCCCTTTTGTCTGCTCATGAGACCCATTTCCTCTTACTGAGTTGCTTGATATGAGGGTTTGTGCCTAGTCTTATCCAATCTTGTTATGCCAAGTTCAGTGGACACTCCTGGGAGGCCTGCTCATTTCTGAAGGAAAATGGAAGAGGAATGGATCTGGGGGAGAGGGGAGGTAGGATCAGGGGTGGGAGGGATGGAAGAAGGGAAAACTGAGGTTGTAATGTCTTGAAAACAAAAATTTTTTAAAAAAAAAAAGAAAGAAAAGAAAATCATATAATTACAAGAAAAAAATAATCAAATGTTTTGTCCTTCATCTGTCAGGGAAGAACTTTGCTCTCAATTCCCGACAATTCTACCCATGTGGCCATGGGGTGGGAAGAAAGAGGAAGTTACCTTTACATTGTGGAGCTGCTGATCTCCATTGTGAAAGCCAGCAGGAGATATTTGCCTCTCCAACCAGTCTGTATCCTTTATCACACCGATATGTTGCCACAGTTGTGAAGTACCTAGTAGTAGATGTGGTATAATTTCCATGGGCAATGTTTGGAGGAAAATCACAATCTGGATGATAAAACACAGGAGAGAAAGTGAGCCTGTAAAATATGTCAAATAACACTTCCCAGGAGTTGTGCACCCTGGCTGATTCATTCTGTCCTTCTTTCCTCCCTGCCTGGAAGATCCCTGGACCAAAGCCATGCACTTGAATGATCTTCCTGGAAGCCTCAGGTTCAGGAACTTGGAAGTCTCAAACTACCCACTGGTATAATTTGGATGGTGAATTTCTTGGAGTGACCTATAAGTTAAAGGCTTAGCTCCCAGATGACACTATCGGAAGGTGTTGGAAACTTTAGAAGGTGGGGGCCTCATGGGAGGTTCTTCGGTCACTAGAGGCTTTCTGGTTATGGAGACTGTGCGTCTCCAGCCCTCCCGTCTCTTTCTTTCCTCTCTGCCTCATGACTGGGAAAATAGTTTTGCTCCAACTTATACTCTTGCCATTTACACAAGTCTAAAGCAATGGATTCAACCTCTGAAACTATAAGCAAGCCCTCAATTAACTGTTTTCTTTTATAAGAGTTGCCTTGGTCATGGTGTCTTTTCACAGCAATAAAGACAGTAAGACTCATATAACTAAATATGTTGAAATGGCCATTTTCATATTTCTATTAAATTCACCAGCTTCTTCACTCCAAAGTTAGGATTTTGGAGACTTCAGTCTTAACAACAGCTGAACCCTATGTGATATATTTACTATAAAAGAATAATTCAGCTTTGAGTAAATGAAGTCACTGATTTAGCAAAGGCCTGTTTTTCTCCACCTGTATCAGAAAAGAGGTTAGGAACAGCATTGACACACTTGGAAACGTCAAGACCTTACACTTCCAGCTTGGGTCTTGGGCTGGGATAATTCTCCTGCTTTCCTACAGTCAAGCAGCAGTTCTCTTCACGGGGGTCACCTAATATCATCTGCACATCAGTTATTTACATTACAATTCATAACAGTAGAAAATTTACAGCTATGAAGTAGCAGTGGGAACAGTTTTATGGTTGGGGAGGGGGGGGCGGTCACCATAACATGAGGAACTGTATTAAGCGGTTGCAGCATTAGAAGGTGTAATGATACCTTGACAATCTGAATATCCATAGCACATTACATTGATCCAATATATTAATGGCATCATGCTAATTCTAGTGATGAGCATGAAATGGCTAGCATGATGGCACTCCAATGCACAGAATATGAACTGTCCAAGACTTGCCACACTGACAATTTTTTTACTTTCAAGGTTCAGTAACTATTAGGTATCCACTGAAGTCAAAGTCACATGACTGCCACTTGCATGTCCTGCTATAAGGAAGGAGCTGAGCACCAAGTAATCCTTTCTAGACTCTAGAGGCAGCATAATCTATACTTGGGAATATTGCTCTAAGCCCTGTACTAGGTGACATGTGAGACTGCCAGGTTTGAGTGGTGCTTCTGTTTGGCAAGGAATGTTTAGCAGATCTGGGTGAGTCTATAGTGAAATCGTGCTGATGCTAGTCTATAGGATTGGGCTTTGTGTGTTGAAGGTGGCTATAATAGGGAAATCTTCAAATGTTGGTGGGAAATGCACATCATAGGCTGCTGAGCTCCTGAAGGAAGGATGTGGGCTGCAGATGAGAATTACATGCTGCACAGAATTACATTGAAACACAAATCCTGGCATTTTACCATTTTACTTAGTCCTTAGACAAGGCTCCCGACCTTGGGTCAAGTGACCGTATAGCCAGAATCATTTGTCACGAGTAAGATCTGTCAATGTATCAAGTTATAAAGCCAGACAAGTATCCATTATAAAATAGAAATGAAACATTTGGGATCAGACACTGGAAGAATCTGACGACATTTCTGAAAATGCACCCCAGAAATCTCAGTCCCTGCTGCTGCATGGGTGCTTTAGCTCACACCTCTGGCTATAGGATTCCCCGCTCTAGCTCACAGCGGGATGAGGAAAGGTCTCAGCATGATTCGTGGATGGGCATTTTGCTCTGTGTGTACAAGTTGAAATGAATGGAGGTTCCATTAAACCCTGTCAGGGTCCTCTCAAAGGGGAGCCTTCCTGATAGGCCAAGCTGTAGGTGGCATGCCTGAATAGATGTGACCCAAGAATTGACTACATTCGGATTATTGAGATAGAATGAAGGGTTTATCTGGCCAGATATCTGTAAGGAGAAAGATGGGAATACTGGGCACAATACTGGAATCCTGGAATCCTGACAAGGAAGCAGGTGACTCGACACACAAAGTGGGCAGGAAGGTTGAATGAAGGTTTTTGTTGTGTGCGTTAATGGCAGCACATCCCCTATTAAGAGGTGTTAAAGGACCAAGTAGATATCTACCAGTTAAAGTTGGATATGCCCTGTCATTGTCTTTTTTCACTCGTGAAATCCAACAAGTAGAATCAGGGGATAGGAGAAGCATTTCATCATGGTTGAGTGGAAGATATGCAGGGGCCAACAACATGGACTCCCATTCACCAAGGCCAGTCAGTCATCATTATGGACTTTCCAACATTCCATCAATGATGTCCTTGATATGACACAGTGGCTGGAAGTAATAAGAAAGCCATAGTAGCAATTGTCTTTATCAGACTCCTTCTACCCTGGAAGACTGTGATTTGTTTTGATGGGTAAATATTGCAGGAATGAGTTTACCTTTCTTGACTGCTCAACCTCAACCTAAAGTACTTCCTTTAAGAACTACAGAGTAGGCTGGTTAAACAATTAGAAGATGAGAGGGCTAAGGACAGGCAACCCCAAAATATGATTGCTGCATTGATCATTTAGAGACGAAGGCAACTTGAGAACTAGCTGCAGAGAGGACTATCTAAACTGCCACTTTCCCACCTATAGCAAGCCATAAAATTTCCCTTAAGGAAGATACCGTCCTTGCACCAGCCCAAGAAAATATCAGCAGAAATGGAGACTGTTGCTGCTGCAATGTGCCTATACACTAAGTTCTCTAAAATAACACCTATGTTCTACTAGCTTTACACCCCACATAGACCTCCCAGCTATGGTAAACAGACTCTTCACTTGAGCCCAAAGATGCTTGGTAGATGCCTTTTATTCTAAAGCAGAATAAAGCCTGGCACCTCTGCCTCCATTTTCTAAAGGCATCTCCTTTGTTTGAACAGTTGAGGTCATGTTCCTGGTTGATTTGGCATATGAGTCACACGCTGCAGTTCCGAACATCAAGTATCTCCCTCAAAAAGGTGCTGGATTTGAAGTGCTGGCTCCCAATACAACGGTGTTCAAATGGGACTTTAAGGAAGCAATTGTGCCTACATTCAGATTATTGAGATAGAATGAAGGGTTTATCATGAGGGTTCCGACTTCTTCAAGAGATTAATTCCATTTATAGATTCATAATTTGATGGCATTTGGGTGAAGCAATGGGAAGGTCAGAAACTGGGGCCTAGTTGTCGGAGGTGGGACACTGTGGACATGTCTTTGAAGTGTGTATCTTGTTCTATTCCCCTCCCTTCCAATGTCTCTCTGCTTTCCGGCCACTGTGAAGTGTTCAGCGCTTCCCCACCATGGCATTCCTTACAGCTTCATCATAGACTCAAAAGAATTGAAACAGCTGTCTTAGTCAGGGTTGCTATTGCTGTGATGAAATGCCAGGACCAAAAAGCAAGTTGGGGAGGAGAGGGTGTATTTGGTTTACACTTCCACATTGCTGTTCATCACTGAAGGAAGTCAGGACAGGAATTCAAGCAGGGCAGGTACTGGAGGCAGGAGCCGAGGCAGAATTCCACAGAGGGGTGCTGCTTACTGGTTTGTTTCACATGGCTTGCTCAGCCTGCTTATAGAACCCAGCACCACCAGCCCAGGATGGCATCACCCACAATGCATTGGATCCTCCTGCATTGATCACTAATTGAGAAAATGCCTTACAGCTAGTACACCAGTCAAACTAAGTGTAACCTACCTCTATTGCCATTCAAAATCATTCTTCCCCTCTTTGAGCTGTTTCTCTCAGGTACTCGTCTAGCAATAGTTAAAGTGTTAACCATTTAAGGGTCTGTCTAAGCCAGGCAGTGGTGGCACACGCCTTTAATCTCAGCATTCGGGAGGCAAAATAGAGGAAAAGGTCAGCAAAATGGATGAGAAAAACAGCAGTATAAAAAAGCCAGCACCATGGAAATAAACTCGGCAAATAAACTGGGATTTTGGAAAACATAGAAATATAAATGAAAACCTCCACGAATCAAAGGATAAATACAACGAAGGCACCACCAACTCCCACTTGACAAGTAGAAGACAGGATGTCAGGGAGAGAGGAGAAGGTTGAGGGAATATCACATACAAACATCGATGAGAAAAAAAGGAAATGATTGTGACAACAGCATCCAGGAACTCCGGGATATGAGTGAGGGAACACACCTAAGAATCCACAGGCCAGGAGAAAGAGCAGAGACAGATGCTGAAGGTGCTGAGGATCTATTCAATAAAGCTAAAGCAAAAGAGTCCCAGATATAGAGAAAGAAATAAGCATTAAAATAAGAGGCATTAAGAAAGAAATGGAGATTCAAACGTAAGATGTGGCCCCGCCTATTACATACTATATTCATGATAGGAAATATAGAGAGCAAAGAGATAATGTTAAAAGCTGGAAGGGAACAATGCCAACACACCTACAACAAAAGAAGTAGCAGAAAAACATCAGGTCCTTTTTCACTCATTAAGTCTAAAAGTCGGGAAACTATGGAATGTTATACTTCAAGTCCTGAAATCGGTATCTAACGATTCCTATAACCAGCAAAGTCATTATTTCTGTTGTGTCTCTTGCTCCTGCAATAAAACACCCTGACAAAAGCAACTTAAGGTGGATGTCTTAGAATTTTTTATTGCTGTGAAGAGACACCATGACCATGGCAACTCTTACAAAGAAAACATTTCATTGAGGTGGCTCACTTACAGTTTCAGAGGTTCAGTCCATTTAATAGCATGATGGAGAGCATGGCATCATGCAGGCAGATGTGGTACTGGAGGAGTAGCTGAGAGTCTTACATCTTGCAGGCAACAGGAGATGGACTGAAACACTGGGCTGTATCCTGAGCATAGGAAACCTCCAAGCCTGCCCCCACAATGACACACTTCCTCCAACAAGGCCATGCATACCCCAACAAAGTCACACCTCCTAATAGTGTCACACCCTGTGAGATTATAGGGCCAATTACATTCAAACTACCACAGTGGGATTATTTTTGTTCACAGTTCCAGGTCCCTCACTGTGGAGAAGTAAGCAGCAGTAACTTGAAGCTGCTAGTCACATTACAGCCATAGTCAGAAAGCAGAGTGGGGATTAAAAGACACATGCACACTCAGATCATTCTCACGTTTTCATCAGTCCAGGGCCCAACCTATGAAATGGTACCACCCATACTCAAGGTAGGTCTTCCCATATCAATTAACATGATTAAAATAGTCCCCACCTCCACCCCAGACATATATACCAACACGCCTACCTAATCTATCAATCCCCCACTGAGAGTCTCCTCTCAGGTAATTCTTGCTGACAATTAAAACTGACCATAACAGCTAACTTTTGAAACTGACAGAGAACAAAGGCTATTCCAAATCAAGCACAAACTAAGGCAGTTAATACCACCACACTCCTACCACAGAAGACACAAAAAGGAATATACAGAGGAGGAAGACATTTTTAATGGCAAGAGCACAGAAAACAATAAACACCATGAGAGAAATGGCCAAAGGCAGGAGAGCTAGGAAGGAATCATGTCCAGCAGAGTAAACAAACCCCTAAAACAAATAGAGAAGAACACAAAGAACGAACAGTAACTCAACCAACCAGAGAAACAACCAACATCACAGGAACTGGTCATTGTCCCTTAATAATAACCTTCCACGTAAATGTCCTCAAATCATCCACAGAAGGATGGACCCTGGCTGACTACTGATTGCAAAAATGAGATGCAACTTTCTGTGGTCTCCAAGAAACATTCACTGACTGAGAGTCAAAGTTTAAAAGAAGATCTATCCAGCAAGTGGAAACCAAAAATGAGGTAGAATAGCTATTCTTGTATCTGATAAAGTAGATTTCAAAGCCAAATTGTATTAGAGATGAAGAAAATCACTAGTTTAGAGGAGGGAACAAGGAAACAAAAAGAAAACAGGATTTCCTACGTAGTCCATCCTTGTCACTACGCTGCCCAAGCCAGCCTTGAACTTACAATTTCCCTGCATTTGTTCTCTTGAAAAAACTTCCTTTAATAATCTCCACACTATTCATATAAAGGAACTCAGGGGCTGGAGAGGTGGCTCAATGGTTAAGGTCATTGGCTGCTCTTCCAGAGGACTCAGATTCAATTCCCAGCACTCACATGGCAGCTCATACTGTGTGTAACCCCAGTTCCAGGGGATCTGACACCCTCAGACACATATGTAGGTAACACACCAATACACATAAAATATATACATTTTTTAAAAATGAAAAAAAAAGAAACTCTCCCCCACAAAACATAGTTCTGTTCATTCTTACTCTGATCACATGATGGAGTTTTGGGATGCCATGTGCCATCTGAACTGCAAGTAGCCGAGGAGGTTTTATCATCATGGCATTTGTATGATACTGTGTCATCATGGAAATAAGTACAGCCATTCTCAGGATACATTCTTTTATGTTCAATGACTCTAACATTCTTTGCATCTGGTACTGGACAACATATCTCTAGAAAACAAAAATGGAGAATAAGGGTCAATGAAATCATCATGAAGGAGTTTCTTACAGTTAATGACTCAATTTCCGCAACTCCGAAGAGAAGTTTGGGGCACAGGAAAGGAAGCCCAAAAACTGAGTTTCTACCTCCTGTAGAATTTCTAAAAAAAAAACTCAAGTCCAATCACTTCCTCCAAGTAAGCCATTCCTTCATTGTTTGGTAATTTCAAACATGCATATAATGTGTTTTAATCAATTCAACTCCAATTCTCTCCACAACAGTTGCTCCCCTAGCCCCTCTCAAATTCATATTTCTTTTTTTCAACACACTGAGTGCGCTAGATGCTTCCAGTACATGCACAGGTGTAGGGCCACCTGCTGAAGCATGAGTAGCCTTCTGAGGCTACATCCTGAACAAAACAACAACAACAAAAAAAAAAAAAAAAAAAACTGACTCTCCATTTCCTAGCAGCCATCAATTGCTAACAGCTCTGTTTCCTGTCTCTAAACACAAGCAGAGAGTGGTTGGTTACTCCCATAACATGTATACCTCTATTGCACGAGTGGGCAGATCTTGCCAGGCCAGTGTTGCAACAATTCACAGCTGGATAATACTAATGATTGCCTTTCTCTCCTCCCCTGCCCGGTAGTGTACACATCACCCTACAATACAATGAAAGATAGCCACTAGGGATAAAGCATCTAGGTTGATATAAACTTGATTTCTCCATATTCTATGACTGAAGTATGAGTGAAGGCAATAACCTATAATTGTTAGGGGTCTTTGGCACCCCACTGACCAACACCTTAAAGAAGTAACTGTATGTGGCACTGTGATTTTTATTTAATAGCCTATGATGCCTGAGAGAGGCACTGTTGTCTGCAACCCCCATTACAGGGTGATTTCATTTAAACTCTTTATATATGCATGTATGTATGTTTTTAGGAAGATTATAAAGTAATGGGCTTCCAAATGGCTTTTTAAAAGAAGTCTTTAGTGTCATCTCTCCCCATACTTTCTCCTCTATCCTGCCCCCACCACCCTCTCATTTAACCTTTCCTATTCCACTATGCCTCATTTCCCTCATTATATCAACTGCATTTTTTTCTCCCTTCCATTGAAATATCATGCCGTGGGCCCTTCCTATTTTACTAACTACTATGGGTACTACAATTTAAACATATATCTAAAGATACAAAGCCAGCATTCACATGTGAAAGAGAACATGCAATGCTTGTCTTTCTAGGTCTAGGTTACCTCACTCAGAATGATTTCAAGCTCCATTAATTTATCTGAAAAACTTATTTTTCATAACAGCTGAATAATATTGCATAGCGTAAACTTATCACATTTACATTATCCATCCATCAGTTGATGGACACTTGGGCTAGCTCCATTTCCTGACAATTGTGAATAGAGCAGCAATGAACACCGATGAGCGAGTATCTCTGTAGCAGGACTTGAGGCCTTTGATTACATGCCCAAGAGTGGAATAGCTGGATCATATGGTACAACTATTTCTAGCATATTGAATAATTCCCACACTGCTTTCAATAGTGGCTGTACCAGCTCGGACTCTAAGAATCAATGAGTAAGTATCCACTTTCCCTATGTTCATAGTAGCATTTGTTCTTATTCCTTATTCCTAATCTTAACCATTCTGACTTTGGTAAAATGGAACTACAAACTAGTTTAATTTGCCTAAAGTTCCCTACGGATTTTGAACATTCTAAAAAATATTTTTCAGCCATTAGTATTTCTTCTTTTGGAATTGCTTAGTTCAGTGTTGAAAATTTTAATTGTGTTGTTTGTTTTTTCTATGTGCTGGTTAGTTTTTGTCAATTTGACACAAACCTAGACATAGCTGGAAAGAAGGAACCTGCTGTGGAATATTATTGTTACTCTGTAAAGATAAGTTAGTTACATTTGTTTCTACTGCCTTTGTTAATGATGTAAAGATGTGTTACATTTGTTTATGCGGCATTTAATTATGTAAAGATATATTGCATTTGTTTCACCTTGCCTGCCTAAGGCACTTGATTGGTCTAATAAATAGCTGAATGGCCAATAGCTAGGCAGGAGGGTAGGTGGGGCTGGTGGGCAGAGAGAATAAGTAGGAGAAGAGAAGAGAATGAAAGGAGAATGAGGAGAAAACAGGAGAAAAGAGAGGAACATGACCAGGGCCAGAAGCCAGGCAGCCACCAAATAGACATAAGAAACAGTGAAAGTAAGATGTACTGCTGTGGAATAATCCTTCTGTAGACTGTGAAAATGTGTTGCTCTCATTACTAACAAAAAGCTGATTGGTTGATAGCTAGGCAGAATTTTCAGGCCAGAAGGAATGTTAAGAAGAAGAAGGGCAGAGTCTAAAGAGTCTCAGGCCAAATGCAACAAAAGCAACATGAGAAGTTCATAGATGAGGTAAACTAGCCTTGGGGATGCACATAGATTAATAGAAATGGGTTCATTTAAGTTGTAAGAGCTGGCTAGAGACAAGCCTAAGCTATCAGCCTAGTATTTTTAATTAATATTAAGCCTCTTTGTGGTTATTGGGGAGTGGGCTGATGGGACAGAAAAGTCTATCTACAACATACAGAAGGAAAGAAAGGTAAAAAGCCCTGAGGCAAAAACATAGATGAAGAGAAACGGGTTAAGTTATAAGAGCTAGCAAGAAAGGAGCCTAAGCTAAGGCTGAACATTCATAACTAACAAGTCTCTGAGTCATGATTTGGGAGCTGGTTGTTGGCCCAAAGAAAGCCTGGTACATTTGGCGTTCCAACATGGGGCAAGAATTTCCACATAAGGCCTGAGATAGCCAAATGAAAAAAAGAAGCCAGTACACTAAGTAGAAACAGCAAGGTAAGTAAAAATGCCTGCTGCAGTGTGGGCATGGGCATCCCAGAGCTGGGACAATCGAATGCAGTTCGCAGTTAAAACACATGGCTCTGGGCCAGTCTGACATGGACCCGAGTACAAGGCGGGACCAGCCACCAGAGCCACTGGTGCAGGGCCTAGCCACCCCTTGTCAATTTAAAGTTTGGCTCACACATCAGAGGACACCGCAAGTGCACAGCTGCAGGCACTTAGGAAAGCAGGTTCAGACAGAGAGAACCTCTGTGCAGGCTACAGTGTGTTTAAAAAATGTGCATAAGCTTAAGAAAAGGGGTATAGACAGCCATAGAAAAAATTAAATAGTTTAAAAATAATAAAGTCTTTAAAGAAAGTAAAGTAATACAAAAAGGATAAGCCATATAAAGGTGAAAAACACACAGAGAGTCATAATCCTGTATGATGTTGTGTTAACTTAGAATTTTTTGAATATTAATAAGCAAATGACAGCTGCTGAGAGACATGCAATTTTAGGAGGGACTGGTGAATTAACCAGCCTACAGAATTAATGCAGCCAGATACTTTAGGAATGCCTTAATTTTAAAATGGAACTCAGAAAATGTATTGCATTGGGGAAGAGGTTATATTTTTGTTTCTACAAGAAACAAAAGGTTGTGGATTCGTTCAAGGTTAATAGTAATCAGGTTTGATCAGGGGCGGGGTGGGGGGGACCCTTGAAAAATTCTGGCTATAGACATAAAAAATATAACTAGAAAAACTATAAGACAATTGACCTATATTTTACCTGCTCAAAAAAAAATAAAAATAAAAATAAAAATCATCTTTGCCTGGCTTCTGTGCAATGCACAGTTCATATTTGTGCTAATGCAGATATGTATGTTACCTTTTAAAGTTTGTATATTTTCAGACCAAGGGGACCAGACACCAATGGAAACAGGTGGCCCGGGTGATCCAGCCTCTCAGAGTGCCTCTGTTGCAGTTTCCTCAGAGTTCTGCATTCAAAATGGCTTCAAGACTGCTGGCTGAGACAGTACAGTCTCACAGATTATTGTAGCCAGGACTGCAGATAAGCCTTACACTTTCCCATCACACAGAGACTG